CATTGAGGCCAGTTACCATCTCTGCAGAACCGTCTCCATGCAGGTCCAGACTTTTCTGCCAAAGAACCAGAGGTGACAGTGGTTAGTGCAAACAGGCAGAGACCCTGCGCTGCTCAGGCGGGTTCAGCCATGACCCCCCAGGCTCCTCTTGTAGGTAGTCTAAAACACAAACCCTGGTTCAGGACCAGGCTCCCAAGCGGAGGTATCAGGCCCAATTCCCACTCCTCTACACCTTCCCCCAGTAACACAAAGGAGAAGCCCTGTGGGAATACCCTTAAACAGGGCCTCTGCAGATGAAGCAATACTCCTGGGAAAGAAGCTGCCAGTTTCAGGGAGGGGTAGCAAGAACACTAGCCCTGGAACCCAGGGAACCTCATTGGAAAGCCTATCTTGGGAGGCTAAACATGTCCCAATAACACAAAGGCCTTATGAAATGTGGGATGGGCTGACATAGCAGCTGTAGAGACACATACTCCATCCCCAGGGGCAAACAGACTCGTTCAGCCTGTATCTTGCTGTCACTGTCTGCAGGAGCAAGGCTTGGGGAAAGACCTGTAGGCAAAAGGGTGTAACAAAAAATAGCACAGTGGGAGATGGAAGCATTTAGTACCACAGATGTCCAGCTTGACCTCCTCTCGCTGCAGGCTAGCCCTGCTGCAGCTCCTGGGCTCTTTTCCATCTCCTTCAGCCAGGAATCCTTAGGCAATCGGTAGATCTCCAGCCAAGCTTTTGTGCTATCTGCATTGGGAAACCACGTTGAGCAATTGGAAATGAGGAGAAAAGGTCTTTCAAGCAAGCAGCCTCTGTTATCTTATATCCTTAAAAGAAGATTTGGATATTTACTGAAATATGAAATCTCTGAGAACTCCATGCAGCCCACCTCTCCTCCTACTTAAGGCTTGACATGTTTCACCGAGACTGATATCTCAGCCTCCAGCTCAAGTCCTCAAGGTCCCACATCCACCAAAGAAATTCCGTGAAGCGACTCAGACAAAGAATTTGACCTGTAGCCTCTGAGGTAAAAAAGAAAGTGAGACGTGGTCTCACACTGATTCTCTGTGGATGCTACATATCTCATTCTCAGCATATGTCCAGGCAGATTTCACCAAACATAGGTCCAGAAAACCTGCTAGCAGCAAATGGGTTGATGAAGGCAGCTGCCATGAAACAGAATGTTGCAGCAAGGAGCTTGTTGTAGTGGTTTTAGAGACTGTCTCTATGCTGTCTGGCTTATGTCTGCAGAGAAAATTCTTCAGGTCTACGTATTTCCAGTGTAAAAGTGAGGCATAGCAAACCAGAGGAAGAACTGAGTTTGGTGCTTCTGGAGAGGAGGGGGAAACCTGCTTTCACTGAGCCTTCTGGATGCTGGGAACTGCACTCACCAGTTCCAGACAGTTCACTTTTGGGATCAGTCCTGATCCATACCAGGCCTTTTGGAGAGGACAGGGAGTGGCAGGAGCAGCTCTATAAGCTGGAAGAGGGACTGAGAGGGTTAGGACCAGGATCCCGGGGAATACAGAATACTTGGAGTATTTTAAAAGCATTGCTGCTGGCCCTTCTGCTAGAACACAACAGACGTCACCCTGCACACCATGTTCCTGCACTTGCCTTGCAGCAGGACTCCTGCGTAGTCTCCTCCCGGGGGAAGTACCACCTCCACACAAGTACTTCGCTTGCTAATGTCCTCCTGCCAAAATAAAATGAGCTGGTATCAAAGCAAGATCACTGATTCAGAGAGCTTCACGGCCTTACGCAGTTCTCAACAGGGTAAAGGCCAGACAGAATGTTGGAAGAACAGGAATAAATATTGGGCAGCACTCTTGGAGCATAGCTGCCCATGACAGAAATTCCTGAGGGCAGTCACTACTCCTCATGATTGATTACTTACCAGCCTGTGCCCAGTGTCTATGGAATTAACTCAGTACTTACCACTTCATTTAGGATTATAACAAGTAGGAAGCTTTCCTTGTAAAAGCAGAAGAGCCAGACAAGCCCTGGAATAGAAATACAGAAGTAGCAGTAGGAGAAGGAGAAAAGTGAACAGATGGTAGTCATGCTCTTGAGAGATGGCTGTTACAACATGTGCAGGAGAGAGAACAGGACTACATTTTTTCCTGGTCTCAAGGAAGAATACCCCACTGCTTCCAGCACTAAACTTTTGCTGGCTTCCTTATGCCAGCACCAACAAACACTCAATTGTACATAGAGAGGGATAAGCCAGTTTGAAAAGTATGTCCATCAGAATCGATAGGTTTCAGATGAATCAACAAACTAACCTATTTACCACAGCACAGGCTGTGCAGCTACAGGTGTGGAAATGAAGCACAGGCAGGAGGTCATGCCAAGCAATGGTTCTTTCTGTCCAGTCCAGGGTGTTCCTAAAATTTACTGAGCTTCACTGTCATCTCTGCACCTGTCTCTGCTGCTCCAGAGAGGACACCAAACCCACACCCTCTGCTAATCACAAGGCCCTAGAGCCACTCTGTCACCCTACAACCTGTTACCTAATGCCCTCTTTGCAGGGCTTTCTGGGAAACCTGACAGCCAGTCTAACATTCCTCCTGATTTAGCACTCTTCCATAATGCAGCTGCCAACTCTTCAGCTCCAGAGCACAGCTATCCCTAGCTAGGTCACGGAAATCCACGTCACACTAACCCATTTCATCCACAGCAAGCAGGACATGGCGCTCATTCCCCAAATCCAAGGCATGGATGGCACAAATCTCTGTCTTGACTGCATCCCAAGCACAGACCTCCTTACAGTCAGGCATCTTGAAGGCAGCCAGACCCACGGACAGACCAACAAAGATGTATTTCCCAGACGCTGCAAGGCAATTGGCTCTTCCAGCTACCTAACAAGAAAGGAAAAAGATGAGTGTACCCAATTGCCTCCCCAGTGGAGGATACATCAGCCATACCAGCGATATACTCCCACCCTTTCACCAACAGAAAACACTGATTTATTCTACAAGGGAAAAATTTTTTGCATGAGCTTTCATCAGAATAGCAAGGGAGGGGCTCTCATCTCTGTCACAGAGATTGTTCTGTGTTGGGAATGAGAAAGTTTGTTCCTACCTTTCCCCTTCCAATAAACAGAAGGGGCTTTAAAGGCCAAGAACTCAGGAGCACTCAGGCCTCCCACTGCTAATGCAGAGCTGTGATGGGATGCTGAACTCCTCTGGGCAATCACAGAACACCAGCAGATGCCAGCGTATCCTCCTGGATACCTCCACATACCAGCAGGGAAGGCAGCACTGCCCTTCTGCTCACAGTGCTCCCATTAGGGCATTCACCATAACACAGAGCTGAGTTTGCCCATTTACATGCTACTGACTAATTACTTTCTCCTCGGCAAACAAGGGTGGAGCCAGCAGAAGGTGGATTTAGTGCTGGTTAATATCTGCTTCTCTTTCCAGAGAGGTGTGATAGATAGACGGAAGCAGAACCTGTCAGACAAGCTTAGAAGCTGCAGCCTTTTCAAGTGAATCAGTGAGATGGTGGTGAATTCTGAAGAAGGTGATGAACAGAAGGATGTAAAATCAACTGAATGGACATTCTCTAGAAAAGCTGCTATGGTGATTAATGCTGTCTCTGCAGTGAGGGGCTCTGTACCTGGAATTCAGCTGTAGGAAAGCATTTTGTGGGCTGGACCTTTAGTTTTTGCGCTTCTCGGAGCATTTCCCTTCTTTCAATGATTTCCATAGCATTCTCAAAAACCAGCATCACCAGTTTGTTGATCATCCTGAAGGGCTGAGGCAATGCATCACGCTTTCGATCGGGATCCTGCAGGAAGAAATCTTCCTCATCATCCTTTAGCCAGTCCTTTTCAGATGGCGGAGGAATCTCCAGGGGATGTTTCCGGATATACACAGCCATGGTTCTGCCCTTCCAGATGCAAAACACACCACAGATGCAGGAACCACAGTAGATGGAGAAGAACGAAGAATCATGCAATATCTACTTTCATGAGGTAATGAGGGAAAAGAGAAAGGTGATTAAGAGGGAAGGGGGTTCCTTTCAGTATAAATAGCCAGAGCAACCCCGTTGTATATAGCTCATTTCTACTCACTGCATCGCCCCTGTTACCTGGGGGTTTTGTCCTGCTCTGGGAAGATCTGCCCCACAGCACCCGTAGGTCACCTACAGCAAGGGGAGCGCAAAAGTTTTGGCACGAGTCTGTATAAGAATTATGATAAAGGACTCAAAAACATTAGCTTGTTCTTCATTAGAAGACTTACTCGGCCTAGATAAAATCCCAACAATTAATTAGGAAAGCAGGTGAGTTTCAGTGGAAGTTATAAACTTCACTTCCAAGGCACCGGGTGCTTTCTGAGCTTCCCCACCAGGGCCGGGGGGGGGGCCGTTTTGGCACGAGTCTGTATAAGAATTATGATAAAGGACTCAAAAACATTAGCTTGTTCTTCATTAGAAGACTTACTCGGCCTAGATAAAATCCCAACAATTAATTAGGAAAGCAGGTGAGTTTCAGTGGAAGTTATAAACTTCACTTCCAAGGCACCGGGTGCTTTCTGAGCTTCCCCACCAGGGCCGGGGGGGGGGCCGG